ACCAATGATGTAGTCACCAGTGATGTAGTCACCGATGATGTAGTCACCGATGATGTAGTCACCAATTATGTAGTCACCAATGATGTAGTCACCAATGATGTAGTCACCGATGATGTAGTCACCAATGATGCAATGATGTTAACTATACGTTTATAGATAGTATGCAATGATGTAGTTATGAAAACAGCAGAAAGGCCTGCACACTGTCTGTATTGAATTACCACCTTTAATCACAATGTTTCTAACCTGTTTTTATGTATACTTTATTAGCCCTGCACATACCTTTTTAAGGACGTGCATCTGACCACAAACATTTCTATAGCAATGATGTAAGGCATTAATAGGAAGGCATACTTAATGAAGGATTTATGAAGAGTTTATAAGTAGATCAACTATTAATTATAGGTTAGTTTATTAATTCATAATTAAACCTGGTTCCATGTCTTCCAGTGTGAGAGGCTGAGATTGAAGATCATCCAGGCTGTGTTCTCTTCTCCTGGAGCCAAACAACCCCAGACTGAAGTCAAATTCAATCAATCAAATGTATTTATAAAGCCCTTTTTACATCAGCAGATGTCACAAAGTGATATACAGAAACCCAGCCTAAAACCCCAAACAGTAAGCAATGCAGATGGCTGGGAAAAACTCCCTAGAAAGGCAGGAACCTAGGAAGAAACCTAGGGAGGAACCAGGGTCTGAGGGGTGGCCAGTGCTCTTCTTGCTGTGCCGGATGGAGATTATAAGAATACATGGCCATTAAGGCCAGATTGAAGTCAGTGATCAGGCTCTTCTCTCCACCATGCAGGTACCTCTACAGAGTAGTTTGATTGAAATTTGATAAAGATTCATCCAGGTCAATGTTTTGTACGCCGCAGATAACAGATTCCCAAACAGGTTCAACACGTAAATCAACTGGATACTATACATGTCATCCAATTTTTTGTCATTTTCTGACTTCAAAAGGTACAACCTGGTGAAAATGAAGGTTGATTAAGTAAAATACCAAATTTACCAGAACTGATGCCCCTGTATCAGCCATTCCAATAGTAATGCTAGCGTTTACCAATAAACTATGCCCATGCAAATTTGGAAGCTTTAAAACATTGCATAAAATACTGATTGATTTTTGTTTGTTTTAGAAAATCATTGATGACAGTTCAAAGTTCTACCAAAAACTGAATCAAAAAGTAGAGCAAATCCCTCCTCTTACTTTGTGATGTACAGGGAGTTAAAGCTGAGGCTGGGGGAGTGAAAACAGCAGCTCCAACACCACAGAAGAAGATCTAATGAGAGAAAGCAGCAGCTCCAACACCACAGAAGAAGATCTAACGAGAGAAAGCAGCAGCTCCAACACCACAGAAGAAGATCTAATGTCACACACAGTGGAGGAACTCCTGACAGCTGAAACTGGAAGGGATATTTTTGAAGCAGGCGTCCTCCATGCATTTCAAATAATAAACACTTATGGCAATTGTATATACTTTTGTAATCGCCAATCAGAATGCTACAACCGAACATAGACTGACCTGCACCTGTTCTGATAGGCCTATTTAATCTCATCTCCAAGGTTACACTAAAACAGAGTAAATCCTTGAGTGTGGCTGTAACTGTTACACTTGTCCGCCATCTTGTGGAATGACATGTAAATTAATTTAGGCTACTACTGGAATCAATTCACTAGTGGCCTAGGTATTTTTAAAAATTGAGCAACAAATGTTTTATTTGTCAAATTAACAGCAAAATATAAGGCACTCTTGCTGAATGGATGTTAATTATTTTCACAATATTAACAAATGTACAAGTGCTTTGTGCCCATACAAATTACTGTACAGAAAAACAACAAGTAATGTCAAATGTATCAGATCATTTAAATAGAATTTACATAGAATTGTTATTCAAATATTCTGCTAAACGGTTTGGTTAGAAGGCACAAGTAAAGAATGTTCATATCACATTTTATTTTTCTAACACAATTAACAGTAAAAAATGACATGGTCTTGATATACAGTTCATTCGAAAAGTATTCAGACCCCTTGACTTTTTACACATTTTGTTATGTGACAACCTTATTCTAAAATGAATTAAATTGGAAAAACAGAAATATCACATTTACATAAGTATTCAGACCCTTTACTCAGTACTTTGTTGAAGCACCTTTGGCAGCGATTACAGCCTCAAATCTTCTTGGATATGACGCTACAAAGCTTGGCACACCTGTATTTGGGGAGTTTCTCCAATTCTTCTCTACAGATCCTCTCAAGCTCTGTCAGGTTGGATGGGGAGCGTCGCTGCACAGCTATTTTCAGGTCTCTCCAGAGATGTTCGATCGGGTTCAAATCCGGGCTCTGGCTGGGCCACTAAAGGACATTCAGAGACTTGTCCCGAAGCCACTCCTGCGTTGTCTTGGCTGTGTGCTTAGAGTCGTTGTCCTTTTGGAAGGTGAACCTTCACCCCAGTCTGTGGTCCGGAGTGCTCTGGAGCAGGTTTTCATCAAGGTTCTCTCTGTACTTTGCTCCGTTCATCTTCCCCTCGATCCTGACTAGTCTCCCAGTCCCTGCCGCTGAAAAGCATCCCCACAGCATGATGCTGCCACCACCACGCTTCGCCGTAGGGATGGTGCCATGTTTCCTCCAGACCTGACGCTTGGCATTCAGGCCAAAGAGTTCAATCTTGGTTTCATCAGACCAGAGAATCTTGTTTCTCCTTTATGGTAGAGTCCTTTAGGGGCCTTTTGGCAAACTCCAAGCGGCCTGTCATGTGCCTTTTACTGAGGAGTGGCTTCCGTCTGACCACTCTACCATAAAGGCCTGATTGGTGGACTGCTGCAGAGATGGTTGTCCTTCTGGAAGGTTCTCCCATCTCCACAGAGGAACTCTGGAGCTCTGTCAGATTGACCATCGGGTTCTTGGTCACCTCCCTGACCAAGGCCCTTCTCCCCCGATTGCTCAGTTTGGCCGGGCGGCCAGCTCTTGGAAGAGTCTTGATGGTTCCAAACTTCATCAATTTTAGAATAATGGAGGCCACTGTGTCCTTGGGGACCTTCAATGCTGCAGAAATTTTTTGGTACCCTTCCCCAGATCTGTGCCTTGACACAATCCTGTCTCAAATCCTTCAACCTCATGGCTTGGATTTTGCTCTGACATGCACTGTCAATTGTGGGACCATATGTAGACAGGTGTGTGCATTTCCATATCCTGTCCAATCAATTGAATTTACCACAGGTAGACTCCAATCAAATTGTATAAACATCTCAATGATGATCAATGGAAACCGGATGCACCTGAGCTCAATTTCGAGTCTCACAGCAAAGGTACTGAATACTTATGTAAATACGGTATTTCTGTTTTTATTTTTAATACATTTGCTAAAATTCTAATATCCTGTTTCTGCTTAGCCATTATGGGGTATTGTGTGTAGATTGATGAGGATTTTTATTTAATCAATTTTAGAATAAGGCTGTAACATAACAAAATGTGGAAAAAGTCAAGGGGTCTGAATATTTTCGGAATGCACTGTAGGATGTTGCAAAAACAACTAGGATAAAGAACAGGTGAATCAAGATCCCAGTAACTTTGTCTGAATACAGTCAACTCCTGATAAATCCTAAATGGATTAGTCAAAATTCAAGTGGAAGTGCATTGCAGTTCATTTTATCCACAGCGGTGTGGATATCTTCACGCTCCAGTTCTGGTGTGTGGCATCCATGACACTTCATCTGAGTACAGTGGATGGATCATTTATGATATTGCACATTTTCAATGGTACACTTTCAAACTCAGCTCCCAGATTAGTGCAGGCTGCGAGATGCGACTGACATTTCAAGTGAGAAGGGAGAGAGCGAGAGTGGGGGGTGGACATGGAGGGCGCATGGCTTGAAGCACTGAACATCATGATGTGAATTGGAATGTGTTTAGACTATTACTAGCATCATAACTTCACTGAATTACATAATTATATACTAGACATTAGGAATACTTTTGGAACATAAATTAACATATATAAACCTGTTCTCAAGATTTGTAAATAACGGTTCTGTTCCAGAAGACTAGAGATCACTTTTGTTCCCAGATCAGTTTCGGTTTCTTGAAATATATTTTGGTTCTGTTTTGGTTCTGTTCCCTGAACTGGTTTGAACCCCTGATTTAAAACACTATGTCTCTTCTGTTTCCACTCTGGAAAAACAAGACGCAAAACACGTATAATTTGGTAAGTTATTACTAAAATAATCAGACAAATATTTAATCCAAATGGACAGGAAGTTTTGGATTGACAGGGGCGCACACACACGCACTCTCTCAATTTATTTACATTTAGGTCTTAGGGTTAAGTGCCTTGCTCAAGGGCACATCGACAGAATTGTGCAGAAGACGACCGCCGATCTCCACCGCAGTGAGGGACCGGTGTACGCACCGGGAGATCGGGTCTGGCTCTCGACCAGAAACCTGCCCCTCCGCCTGCCCTGCCGGAAGCTGGGTCGGCGGTTTGTGGGGCCTTTTAAAGTCCTGAGGAGGTTGAACGAGGTGTGTTACAGGTTACAATTGCCTATTGATTACAGAATTGTTTTTTTTCTGCCACCTAGTCTGCTTAGGGATTTGAACCAGCGACCTTTCGGTTACTGGCCTAACGCTCTTAACCGCTAGTATTTCAGCTCATGTACTGAACAACAAGTTGTGACTTTTGTCCATTTGATAAGGTTTGATGGGTATACAGCCATATACTGATTACCACAGCAGTGCTCTAACTTTAACAGTACCATCTATCCCTCTGCCTTTGAACCCTCAAGGTTGACTAAAATGTTAACTAAAGGAAAATAAACAAAAACAAAACAACATTATATAAACCGGTTCTCAAGATTTGTAAATAACGGTTCTGTTTCAGAACACTAGAGATCGCTTTTGTTAGAAACAGATATAATTCTTTTTCTCACTAATATTAATAAGGAAACAGCTCCAGCTAATATCATGAGAACTGTCATGGATGCCACAGCACACATTCCGCTTCTAGCTGTGGAATGGGATAGTTGTGGTCCACACTCTGAATCCGACCAAGGAGATCCTGGTTTCATTTCCTGAAGTCCCAAGGATTCACATCTATAAACAGATAAATACTGGCCATTACTGATTCATTTATAACTTGGTCATACATCTTTCAGTTTTAGATTTGTGTTAGGTAACTTTGTATTTAGGGGGAAAACTATTTGTGTAAGCCACACTTACCCAGTGTGTGACTGGCAGGCTGTTAATGATCCATCTGAATAAGTATCACCAGTACAGTCAGAACACACAGTATCTGTAGATGTTGTTCCTGCATAAATGGAGGTTTAAACATAAATAAAAAACTATACTTCCCAAAACAAACTTGTAAACATTGTACTTAAACTTTCCCCATGTACTCATCTTGACTTAATTTTAATTGTCCAATGATTTCAATCAATCAATCAAACGATCAGCTACTTTTAATTCAGTAGAGTACCTTGGCACACTAGAAATCATGACAAAATCATGTTGAATACTTGAGAGGAGACCAACCTGTGTGGCTGATGTATTGACCAGGTTTACAGCTGCTGTATCTCTGGGCTGCTCTACAACCATCCTTAGTTGGGTCTAGACAGTAGAACCCCTCCAGTGTCCCACAGACAGTGTTTGATGAAGGTCTACATGGCTGCTTTACCTTCAAACCCAAACCTATGGAAAAACACATGGTGTGTATTATAAGGCTACGATGTGCTGTTTTTATTCACACATCACATTGAAAACACGTGTTTTATGTCTGGCTTTACTGACCTGAGTCACAGATGGTACACGGTTCACATCTCATGAGACCATTTGGTTCACAAAGGAACGTGGAGTCAATACAGGGTACACAGGATGTACTGGTGAACTCAGTGCAGTGCTTGTGTACATGGTTTCCTGACGGGGAAATGATCAAAACATAAGCACTTAGTCAATCAAGATGATCATCAGATATTTCAGAAAAACTTTGATGGACTAGTTGAGATTTCAGAGACACTCAGGGCTGAGTCCTGACTCTCTGTGTAACATATAAATAGTCCATTAATGTGTCCACAAGTGCGTCCCTCAACAAATTGGGGCATTAGTGCATCCTTCATACACATCAAAGCAATGCATACCATAGTTGCTCCTCTAATCTAGGCCACAGACAAATACAATGAGTGTTGTTCGGAACTATTTCTGTAATTCCTTGGGTGTTTTGCATAAATTGATCGGATTTCACTCTTCATTTTAACACAATCCAGAACTGATATTACCTCACACCCTTATATGAAGGTATATCTTACCAGGAGAACACATAGGACAGCACTCATCACCTATTCTGTACTCTGCTCGACCGCATGCATCATGGAGTTTGAAGCACTTCAGAAGTAATACTGTAAATATCTCCAGAAAGGGAGAGAGAAAAAAAAAGAAGTGAGTTAATATTTTTATAATTGTTCATCATGATTGTTTTCAAATATTTTTTATGGATTTCTTCCCTACTACCAGATTGAAAATATTGAAAAATGATTAGGCTTACCAATGTATTTAACTGCCCCATTATTGAGTGATCCTTATAACCCTATTGATGATCATCACTGGAGTGGATGAACATTGTTCCAAGGGATTTAGATTAATCAAAATTAACTCCATCACTATACAAAATAGATGTACAGTGCCTTTGGAAAGTATTCAGACCCCTTCCCTTTTTCCACATTTTGTTACGTTACAGCCTTTTTTGCACATGTATAAAAATTAAAAACACAAATACCTTATTTACATACAGTACCAGTCAAAAGTTTGTACACACCTACTCATTCATGTCACGCCCTGACTCAGGGGACTCTTATATGTTGAGTCAGGGTGTGGATTTTCTATGTTGTTTTTTCTATGTTTGTGATCTAGGTGTTTTAGATCTATGTTGGCCGGTGTGATTCCCAATCAGAGACAGCTGTCGCTCGTTGTCTCTGATTGGGTATCATACTTAGGCAGCCTATTGGCACTAGTTAGTCGTGGGATCTTGTTCCGTGTTAGAGGCTTGTTTTGTGTGTAGCCTTAGGACTTCACGTTTCGTTGGTTTGTTGTTTTGTCGTGTGTTTATCAGTTAAATAAACATGTACGCATTTCACGCTGCACCTTGGTCTGACCCGTCCTTAAATGTCCGTGACAAAAGATCCCAACAAACACGGACCAAACAGCGTGCCCAGGAGGACCGAACACCCTGGACACAGGTGGGGAAGATTTGGTCATGGGAGGAGATATTTGCGGGAAAAGGACCCTGGGCGAAGAAGGAAGCCCAGGCAGGAGAGGAGCAACGGCAACACGGAAGCCGGCCGAGGAGGAAGCCCGAGAAGCAGCCCCAAGAAAATGTTGGGTGGGGGCTAAAGGGGTGGTCGGGGAGCGAGAGAGAAGAGCCCCGACCACTGCACCCGGTGGGTTTCCAGATTGGGTCCCTACGACCATGGGAAGAGGAGTGGGAACAGTATTATACTGAGGAGTCGAAGGATGTCGACGACGACGAGTTTCTGTTCCCTAACTCGTGGGGGCTCCCGGAGGAGTCCTCACGGGAAGAGGAGTGCCGGGTAAGAGAGGAGGCCACCATATTACGGGGGCTGTTAGATAGAATAGAGCGGGAGAGATCCATTCAGGAGGAGGCACTGCAGGAGGCGCGTAGGGAGAAGGAGGAAGTAGAGGCACGGAGAGAGGAGCTGGTTAGGCAGCATCAGGAGCGGGGGTTAATAAAGGAACCCAGGTATACGGAGAAACGCACTGTACTGCTCCAGACCTCCAGTCCGCCTTCACAGTCCAGTCTGGCCCGTTCCTGTTCCTCGCACCTGGCCAGTGGTGCGTGTTCCCAGTCCTGTCAGGCCCGTTCCTGCTCCTCGCACCAGACCTGTGGTGCGTGTTCCCAGTCCGGCCCGGCCTGTTCCTGTTCCCCGCACCAAGCCAGTGGTGCGTGTTCCCAGTCCGGCCCGGCCCGTCCCTGCTCCTCGCACCAAGCCAGTGGTGCGCGTCGCCAGCCCGGCCCGGCCCGTTCCTGTTCCTCGCACCAAGCCAGTGGTGCGCGTCGCCAGCCCGGCCCGGCCTGTTCCTGCTCCTCGCACCAGACCTGTGGTGCGTGTTCCCAGTCCGGCCCGGCCTGTCCTGCTCCCCGCACCAAGCCAGTGGTGCGTGTTCTCAGTCCGGCCCGGCCCGTTCCTGCTCCTCGCACCAAGCCAGTGGTGCACGTCGCCAGCCCGGCCCGGTCTGTTCCTGCTCCTCGCACCAAGCCAGTGGTGCGCGTCGCCAGCCCGGCCCGGCCTGTTCCTGCTCCTCGCACCAAGCCAGTGGTGCGCGTCGCCAGCCCGGCCCGGCCTGTTCCTGCTCCTCGCACCAAGCCAGTGGTGCGTGTTCCCAGTCCGGCCCGGCCTGTTCCTGCTCCTCGCACCAAGCCAGTGGTGCGCGTCGCCGGCCCGGCCTGTTCCTGCTCCTCGCACCAAGCCAGTAGTGCGTGTTCCTAGTCCGGTCCGGCCCGTTCCTGCTCCTCCGGTCAGCTGCTCCACTCCTGAGGAAGAGCAGTCCGCTCCACCGGTGCCTGATCCAGCTCCGGTCAGCGGATCCAGTCCGGAGCCAGAGCAGTCCGCTCCACCGTCGTCTGGTCCAGCTCCGGTCAACGGCTCCAGTCCAGATCCAGGCGTCAGCCCCTCTCCAGGTTCGGGGTCTCCCACACCAGGGCCCAGACAGGGCTTGGTACATCGTGGGAGGAAGGAGAGGGGAAGTAGCGCGCCGAGGTCCAGACCAGACCAGGGGCGCAACAGGGAAGCGGAGAGTAAGAGGTCGTCACGCCCGGAGCCGGATCCGCCTCCGAGGTGGAATGCCCACCCGGCCCCTACCCTGTTATGTTTATGTTGTGCGGTCGGAGTCAGCACCTTTGGGGGGGGGGACTGTCACGCCCTGACTCAGGGGACTCTTATATGTTGAGTCAGGGTGTGGGTTTTCTATGTTGTTTTTTCTATGTTTGTGATCTAGGTGTTTTAGATCTATGTTGGCCGGTGTGGTTCCCAATCAGAGGCAGCTGTCGCTCGTTGTCTCTGATTGGGGATCATACTTAGGCAGCCTATTGGCACTAGTTAGTTGTGGGATCTTGTTCCGTGTTAGAGGCTTGTTTTGTGTGTAGCCTTAGGACTTCACGTTTCGTTGGTTTGTTGTTTTGTCGTGTGTTTATCAGTTAAATAAACATGTACGCATTTCACGCTGCGCCTTGGTCTGACCCGTCCTTAAATGTCCGTGACAGAAGATCCCAACAAACACGGACCAAACAGCGTGCCCAGGAGGACCGAACACCCTGGACACAGGTGGGGAAGATTTGGTCATGGGAGGAGATATTTGCGGGAAAAGGACCCTGGGCGAAGAAGGAAGCCCAGGCAGGAGAGGAGCAACGGCAACACGGAAGCCGGCCGAGGAGGAAGCCCGAGAAGCAGCCCCAAGAAAATGTTGGGTGGGGGCTAAAGGGGTGGTCGGGGAGCGAGAGAGAAGAGCCCCGACCACTGCACCCGGTGGGTTTCCAGATTGGGTCCCTACGACCATGGGAAGAGGAGTGGGAACAGTATTATACTGAGGAGTCGAAGGATGACGACGACGACGAGTTTCTGTTCCCTAACTCGTGGGGGCTCCCGGAGGAGTCCTCACGGGAAGAGGAGTGCCGGGTAAGAGAGGAGGCCACCATATTACGGGGGCTGTTAGATAGAATAGAGCGGGAGAGATCCATTCAGGAGGAGGCACTGCAGGAGGCGCGTAGGGAGAAGGAGGAAGTAGAGGCACAGAGAGAGGAGCTGGTTAGGCAGCATCAGGAGCGGGGGTTAATAAAGGAACCCAGGTATGCGGAGAAATGCACTGTACCGCTCCAGACCTCCAGTCCGCCTTCACAGTCCAGTCTGGCCCGTTCCTGTTCCTCGCACCTGGCCAGTGGTGCGTGTTCCCAGTCCTGTCAGGCCCGTTCCTGCTCCTCGCACCAGACCTGTGGTGCGTGTTCCCAGTCCGGCCCGGCCTGTTCCTGCTCCCCGCACCAAGCCAGTGGTGCGTGTTCCCAGTCCGGCCCGGCCCGTCCCTGCTCCTCGCACCAAGCCAGTGGTGCGCGTCGCCAGCCCGGCCCGGCCCGTTCCTGTTCCTCGCACCAAGCCAGTGGTGCGCGTCGCCAGCCCGGCCCGGCCTGTTCCTGCTCCTCGCACCAGACCTGTGGTGCGTGTTCCCAGTCCGGCCCGGCCTGTCCTGCTCCCCGCACCAAGCCAGTGGTGCGTGTTCTCAGTCCGGCCCGGCCCGTTCCTGCTCCTCGCACCAAGCCAGTGGTGCACGTCGCCAGCCCGGCCCGGTCTGTTCCTGCTCCTCGCACCAAGCCAGTGGTGCGCGTCGCCAGCCCGACCCGGCCTGTTCCTGCTCCTCGCACCAAGCCAGTGGTGCGCGTCGCCAGCCCGGCCCGGCCTGTTCCTGCTCCTCGCACCAAGCCAGTAGTGCGTGTTCCTAGTCCGGTCCGGCCCGTTCCTGCTCCTCGCACCAGACCTGTGGTGCGAGTGTCCAGTCCGGCACGGCCCGTGCCCGTTCCTCCGGTCAGCTGCTCCACTCCTGAGGAAGAGCAGTCCGCTCCACCGGTGCCTGATCCAGCTCCGGTCAGCGGCTCCAGTCCGGAGCCAGAGCAGTCCGCTCCACCGTCGTCTGGTCCAGCTCCGGTCAACGGCTCCAGTCCAGATCCAGGCGTCAGCCCCTCTCCAGGTTCGGGGTCTCCCACACCAGGGCCCAGACAGGGCTTGGTACATCGTGGGAGGAAGGAGAGGGGAAGTAGCGCGCCGAGGTCCAGACCAGACCAGGGGCGCAACAGGGAAGCGGAGAGTAAGAGGTCGTCACGCCCGGAGCCGGATCCGCCTCCGAGGTGGAATGCCCACCCGGCCCCTACCCTGTTATGTTTATGTTGTGCGGTCGGAGTCAGCACCTTTGGGGGGGGGGACTGTCACGCCCTGACTCAGGGGACTCTTATATGTTGAGTCAGGGTGTGGGTTTTCTATGTTGTTTTTTCTATGTTTGTGATCTAGGTGTTTTAGATCTATGTTGGCCGGTGTGGTTCCCCTTTCAGAGGCAGCTGTCGCTCGTTGTCTCTGATTGGGGATCATACTTAGGCAGCCTATTGGCACTAGTTAGTCGTGGGATCTTGTTCCGTGTAGAGGCTTGTTTTGTGTGTAGCCTTAGGACTTCACGTTTCGTTTGGTTTGTTGTTTTGTCGTGTGTTTATCAGTTCAATAAACATGTACGCATTTCACGCTGCGCCTTGGTCTTACCCGTACTTAAACGTCCGTGACAATTCAAGGGTTTTTCTTAATTTTTTTCTATTTTTTACATTGTAGAATAATAGTGAAGACATCAAAACTATTAAATAA